AAAAAAAAAAAAAGTGTGTTTGCTCTGACAAAGTGAAAGCTATGGGGGGGGGGCGGGCAGAGTGCTGACTGCTGTTGAGTCCCCCAAATCTGTTTATGTATGTATTATATGGCATCCTCTCCACAGTACTCCAGGTCAGACTTGGTTCCCCTGGCCTGGGCCCTTCTCCCAAGCTTCATTGTCCATGTCTCTAAGGGAAGGGGGTAAATCCTGAAAAATCTCAATTGCTGGGTGTGTCTATAATCTTCTTTTGGGGGCAGCTCTGAGCCCAGCTCTTTTAGGGGTGCCTAAAAATCCACCCCCACCTTTTTTTTCCTATCAATGGAAGAGAAAGTCCCTTCCCTACACCTGGACTCTGAGGCCTTTCCAGATCTGGACAGCCCCGACCTCAAAGCCTCTTGCATCTCTGAATTCCCAAGCCTTGCACACAGTAGTTGGTCAAGAAACATTTGCAGCATGCAAGAGCTGGAGGGCTCCTTAGAAATCATCTAGTTAGTCCGGTGTTCCTCATCCATTTTTTAAAAAAAAAACCCACATGCTCTTAGAATAAATATAAAAAATGTTCACCTTTCCCACTCGATAGTCTAACTTCCTGAGGAGGTATATGCCCTTCCATCCCTCGTTGAGGAGTATTTGCAGAGAATGGAAATGCATCACCTATGATGCCTCCTCCAGGCAGACTCATAAAACTGTAACATGATACCATGCCAGCGAAATTACTGGTCCAAACAATCCTTCTCCCCCACTCAAGTTTCACAGTACAGACTCCTCCCAGCCAAGAGTCCCAGATGGAGCCCTGAGAACGGACAGACTCGTCCAGCATTGCATAGCAAACAGAAGCAGAGCCTGGATTTGAAATCGGTTCCCTTCCAGGCCCACTGCATTCTTACTGTTGTACTTCCAGAGCTGCCCAGCCCAAACTTGACCCACCTGGGCCTCCCAGACCCAGAGAGGGGAGTGGAACCCTGGGCCCTCCACCCCTGGCTTGGGCCTGGTTGCCCTTGTCAGGGGTTCCACCACCCCCTTGTGAGTGCAGCCTTGACTTCCTGAGCACAAAGCCCCACCTTTGAGAGCTGTTCCTCCCATGGCCTTGGGTGAGGGGCGGATCACAATGACCCTGAAGAGACCCAGGAGGCAGCAGGGAGGGTCCAGCAGAGGGATCAGGCTGGAAAGATGGGCTCTCCCAAGGACCAGCCCACTGGTTAGGGGGCTCTAAACTCAAGGGACCTTCTCTGGACCCACCCAGAAGCCCCCTGCGGTGAGTGTGACACCAGGAGCCAGCTCAGAGCTGACAACAATCTGGGAGTGGGGTGTGATAGGGAGGAAGCAGGCTCCAAGACCCCCCAGTGTCAGTAGCTGGGGGCAAGTGTGGGGCTCTGTCTCCCAAAGGGCAAGTTTGTTAAAAATATGTGTCTTGGGGCTCTTGGCTGAGTAGCTCTGGTAGAGCTTGCCACTCTTGATCTCGGGGTTGTGAGTTCGAGCCCCACATTGGGGGTAGAGATTACTTAAAAATAAAATCTTAAAAAAGAAAATATATGTCGGGGCGCCTGGGTGGCTCAGTCGGTTAAACGGCTGCCTTCGGCTCAGGTCATGATCCCAGGGTCCTGGGATCGAGCCCTGCATCGGGCTCCCTGTTCAGTGGAGAGCCTGCTTCTCCCTCTCCCTCTGCCTGCCTCTCTGCCTACTTGTGCTCTCTATCTCTCTGTCAAATAAATAAATAAAATTTTAAAAAAAAAAAAAGAAAGAAAGAAAATATATGTCTTGGCCCCACCCCAGACCTACTGAGTCAGAACCTGGGGCATCTGTATTTTCAACAAGCTCTCCACCCAAGGGGCCCTGAGGCCCCAGCAGGACTGGGCAACTGCTGGGCAGGTCTCTCCTTTGGAGCTGGTTCCAGGTTTCCTAATTCCCAGGGGAATGCTAATAGCATAATAGGACTTGAACACTCCAATGGGCTAAGTCACAAAGGAGCAGGTGCTGTTATCCCCATTCTACAGATAAGGGCACTGAGAGAAGTTAACCAGCTGGCTTGTCCAAGTTTGCAAAGCTAATAAGTAGTGGGACTCAGACTAAATCCTAAATAATAATAATTTTAAAATAGGGGGCCTGGGTGGCTCAGTTGGTTAAGCGACTGCCTTCGGCTCAGGTCATGATCCTGGAGTCCCCGGATCGAGTCCCACATCGGGCTCCCTGCGCAGCAGGGAGTCTGCTTCTCCCTCTGACGCTCCCCCCTCTCATGCTCGCTCTCTATCTCATTCTCTCTCTCAAATAAATAAATAAAATCTTAAAATAATAATAATAATAATAATAATTTTAAAATAATAATAACAATAGTAATAGCAGCTAGCCTTTCGCTGAGCACGTACAGCATGCGGGGCACTATTCTATGCCATTTACATGCGCTCCCACACCTAAACGTCCCAGCAACGCAGAAAGGTGTGTACGCTTACGTGACCATTTTGCAGGTGAGGAAACAGAGGCTGAGCGAGCGCTGGCCTGAAGCCACTCGCTGCCTGACGAGACAGTGGTGTTACCCCCAAACCACAAGGACCCCCCTTCCGGGCACTATGGTCTGGGGGCTGGCCGATGCCCTCCTCCTCACTTCGCACGGCACCCACCCCGCCCCACTGGCGTGAGGATGCCCTGAGCTGAGCGCAGGGCCAGACATGCCCCGGCGTCCCCCCAACCCCGGGACCCAGCAGGTGGCGCCCAAGGGGCTCCCCGGCGACGGCGCTCGCCGAAGGAGAGACCCGCGACTGCCCAGGCTGCCCCTGCCCCAGCTCCGCGGGTCCCCCGGCGGCTTGAGGGCCTCGGAGGGCGGCGGCGCGTGGTTACGGGCGGCTCCTCGCACCCAGAGCCGGGGCTGGGCGTCAGGAGCCCCTCGCCGCGCCTGCCCGCCCTGCCCACCCTGGCCCAGCGGGCGGCGCAGAACCGGACAAGGCTGAGGTCGCTCCTGCTCCTGGCCGGTGCGCCCCGGGAACTCGCGCCCGGGCGCCCGGGGCCTGGAGAGCGCGAGGATCCCTGCCGGGGTGCGGCCACCCTGCCCGCCCTCCTAGGAGAGTTCCTCCCCAGCAGGTTCCGGGAGCTCCTGCATCAGCTGGGCGCAGAGCGCGCGGAACCCCCGCCGCCGAGTGAGGCCCCGCCGGGGACCCCAGGGGGCGGGGCAAGGGCGGGGCGGAGTCATTTCCGGGATGATCACAGCTACTGTTAGTGGAGTAGGCCTGGCAGAGTCCTGGCAACTACCCCTCGAGGGCGGGTCTACCATTGCCCCTCTTGTACAGTTGAGGAAACTGAGGCCCAAGGCCCTATAACTAGGAAGAGCCTAGTAAGGACTGTCCCCAAGCGAAGGCTCATATAGCTATTTCCACCTCCTCCTGGTTCCCAGCACCCTCAGCATCACAACCAAAAAGGAGTGTCAGAGTACTGCCACCATTCGCCCCGGTGTCCCCAACTTCCAGACCTGCGGTAAGTGTCAAGTTACCCGCTGATGGGGACAGGGTTGCCAAAAGTGCTCCTAGGATGGGGGACCCCGACCACTCATGCCAGGTGTGGCTTGTTTGTCTTCAAGGGGCCAGTCATTGTACTTCCAGAATAGTCTTAAGAAGATTTTGCTCCATCAGATACCTGCCCTGGGGACCCTGAGGAGAGATCACTCACAGTTCACCCTCAAGAAGGCCAACCAGTGAGTTACAAGAGACTGGCGGTAGGGGGATGGGGAGAAAGAGCATTTCTTCTTTTCTTTCCTCTTGTCTCTCATCCATGAATTTATCCATCTGTCCACCTGTACATCCGTCTATGTGTCCATCCGTGAATCAGGTCTTCTGACAAACCATTCATAATCCATCCATGAATCCACCCATCCATCTATCCATCTATCCATCCATCCATCCATCCATCCATCCATCTATCCACTTATCTATCAATACATAGATCTATCCCAGAGCAGGTCTCCTCCCAACCTATCCAGGGATTATCCATCAACATCTATGAATCCATCCACCCATTCATCAGGTCTTCTGCCAACATATTCATAATCCATCCATGAATCCATTCAGATATTCCTGCTCCCATTCACCTATCCATCCTTGCATACATCTTCTCTGTGAACCAGGTTTTCTACAACCCATCCATGAATCTCTCCATCCATCCATTCATCCATCCATTCATCCATCTAGCCAGTCATCTTTCTAACCAGAAACTCTGATGATTCTATCCACCCATCCATGAATCCAATGATCAGTCATCTCCAAATCCTTCCATGCACTTGTAAATCCAGGGTACTGTCCATCTATAACTTGTCAAGAAGCCATCTACGAGTCCACATACTCACCATATACAGAGTCATTCATCCACCATCCATACATCTACATACATCCTCCTAACATCCAGTCCTTCTATTCAGACCTTTTCATTAACTCATTCATGAGTCCATCTATCCATCCACCCACCCACCCAATCTTCCATCCTTTCACCCATCCCACCATTCATTCGTCCATTTCTTCCTCTTTTATTAGATTTTACTATATGTCAGATATTGGGAGAAATGAGATAAGGGATGGAGATATAGGAGAAGAGCCTGGGCATTAGAGCTTACCTGGACCTCGATGCCATAGCTCTAATGAAGGGGAAAAAGAATGCAGAAAAAACTCCTTCAGCATAAACAGGCTTAAACCAAGGTGAAAGGTGAAGAGCATTGTCCATGAGTTTTTAAGACCAAAGAGAGTAAATACACAACATACATGCCATTCCTTCTCCTTCTGGACCCATGGCTGACAGTACTATTTGATCCCGGCATTTTTCCCCCACTGGGCCTCGAACCCTTCCGGACACAGTGCTCCAGGCAGACACCACCGATGGCTCAGAGAAGGTGCCAGAAGTGAAACACATTTGCCAAGCCAGGAACTTTAAATCAATCAAATAAACACACTACGTCTCACAAGATATAATAAATAAAAGTATGGAACTCATTATCTCAAATAGGACAAACAGCAGGGGTGGACACAGTCACGGTGTTTCACATTTAAGAGCTAATACTTGAGTACCTCGTGGTGTGTGAGATTCCCTGGTAGGCCCTGCAGGGGACACCAGGGTGCATGGGAATGGGCTCCAGCAGCCTCTGATAGGAGAAGCTGAGATCTCAGTCCCCCCGGCAGAGCCAGGGTGCACCTGTGTCTAGCCCTGAGGCCAGCACGGACCAGGGGTTGATAAGCAGACAACTGTTGGATCACTAGGTCTGGGACATCTTCCGGCCGCCTGGCTCTTTTGTGGGCTGATGAAAGTATCTCTTACGTGTCCACACAGACATAAAGAAGTAGTCAGATAAATGGATGCAGATACATCAATATGTGTGTCCTTAAGGTTGAACGTGGCATTTCTGAATAACAGAGCCATGGATGGATCAAGCAGGCCCTCCCGCAGCCTTGCCCTTGAGGCTGAAATTAATAAATGTAACAATAACAGAATGCCCTTTACTGAGTGCGGGCCCCATGCCAGGCCTTGTACTAGATGCCTCCCGTAAGTTATTTGATACTTACCAAACTCTTATAAGGATGCTATTATCATGCTTACACTATATAATACATAATTGAGAGGGGAAAACTGCAAAACGGAGGACTCGAGTGTGGTCTGCCCAAACTCACATGCATGGGTAGAGGTGTAGCTGAGACTGATGATTATAAGAACAGTTTGAAGTCACAGATGTTTACTCTGGGCACCACACACCCTGGGTGGAGTGCTTTGGCACCCATTTCATCTTGCCACCCCGTGTGGTGGGCACAAGGATGATCCCCATTTTACAGATAAAGAAACTGAGGCTTAAAAGAGTTAGGGTTGAAACCCAGGCCTTCTTGACGCTCAAGTTCACATCCTTCTTCTCTCTGCTGAATTGCTCGATATATAGGATTGCCAGCTCTGGAACTAAGATTCAAATCTTGGCTCAAGGAAAAAAAAAAAAATCTTGGCTCTACCCGTTACCAGCTGTGTGACCTTGGGCAAGTTGCAAAACATCTCTGTGCTGTGGTTTGCTCATCTGTAAAATGAGAATAATGATCATGTTTCCCCGGTTGTGCGGGTGTGACGGGCTGATGCATGCTGCATGCATGATCCACTGCCTGGCAGGCATGAAGTACTCCCAGAAAAGGCGAGCTACTGTGGGTGTCAGGATACACAGCGAGGGCTGGTCCAGTGGACGTGGGTTGTGGGGGTGGAATGTGGGGCTGGGGGCTCAGCCTTGACCCTCCCCTGCCCCTCTCGTCTCTCTCAGCAGGCCCCACGGTGCACAGGCCCCCAAGCTCAAGGCTGTGCTCACCCACAGCTCCTCGGGGGAAAGCTCGGGACAGCGCAGACGGTTTTGCCCCTTCCGAGTGAGATTCGCCGATGAGACCCTGCGGGACACAGCGCTCCGTTACTGGGAGCGCAGCTGTGCAGGTAAGCAGACAGGGCGGGGAGCCCCAGGACTCCGGAAAGTTCCAGCCTGGAGCCCGTAGAGCAGAGACTGTGGCCCTGGGTCCTGGGAGTAAGGGCCAGCCTGCAGAGGCTAGGAATCCACTGACTCTGCCGAGAAGGGGCCCGAACTGGCTTCTCCAGACAGTGTCAGGAGGGCCTCAAAGACCAAGTAGAGGGTCCGAGGTCCTGCAGAGGTGTCCCAACGTGGGTGGCACCAGGGAGCAGTCACAGTGGAGGAAACAATGGCTGCCCAGGCCTGGCCACCACTGAAGGCTTTCTTGCTGCCACGGGTTCCCACGTGCCACATCTGCCCACCTCGGAACAGGCACCCACAGCCTCCTGACTCCCACGTCTGGCCCCCTCCGTGGCCTACAGGGGCTGAAGAAGGTGGCAAGGCACCTAAAGCATCTTCTTCCCATATCCATGAAGGCCTGCCTGGCTGAGGAGTTGCCCAGAAAGGTCCAGAATATCAAACCTTCTCTCTGGGGAAGTCTGGCACTGGCTGGTCCAGCAAAGAAGCTAGGAACCACCAGGCCCAGGTTCTGAGATGGAAGTTTGCCCTCGGCTCCTTGGGGATGGATGTGGTGGTGTCTGCTTTGGCACAGTTTCCAGTGTTTTCTGAAGTGGGTGTCAAGAAGCAGGTGGGAAGAATGCGTGTCCTTGCTCTGGTATAACCTTTTACCAATCCCCCCGCCCCTCTCTCCATCAGCCCAGCCTCTTCACTTCTCAGGAGCTAGCAGCCCCAGGGCCTCCAAGAGCTTGCATCTATTTATTGACCAACTACTGTGTGCAGTTTCAGGAAACGTGGCTGTTCCAAAGCCTAGCTGTGGGTAAAGCCCTAAAATCCAGGATCTTTGCTGATTCAGGAGGGACCCTACCCAGGCCCCTTAGGGTCATAGGAAGTTGGAAATAGAAGCTGCAGTTTTGTCCAGCTTCTTGTTGTTTGACGGGGAAGCCAAAGCTTCCGAGAGCAGGTGACACAGCAGCCGAGAAGAGACGCCGGGGTGCCCCCAGGGAGAAACCGTTTCATGGGAATGGCAGCTAGCTAGCTCAGGAGAAGCTTCCTTGGGGCCCAGTGGCCACAGGAGCTGTGGTCACATCCCAGGGCACCAGAGTGGGGCTCTCTCGGCTGACTGCTTCCCAGCCCTTTCCATCCTGAGGCAGCCGTTGGGGAACTTGGGGCCCCTGGCCAGCCGGAAGGGCAGCTATCAGGCAGGAAAGACTCCTAGCCCCTCCATCCCTGCAGGAGTCTCACCATTGTCTCTGGATTTCCACGGTGGTGTGACTGGCCTTCCCATTATGGGAAAGAAGGCCCATTTGGGGCTGCAGTAGGAGTGGGTATGTGGGGGGGGGGGCACAGTTTGGGTAATAGAGGCAGAAACAGTCACGCAAGATAGTTTTAAAACCCGAGCCTTCTCTGGAGGCAGCCATAAGGCACTGGGGAGCCTTGGGTTGCCATGGAGACGGGGCTGTGCCCAGCCTTGCCTGCCAGAGAGGGAGGAGGGGAGAGTGGGGGTGTTGGTACACCCCCCCTGCCCCGGGTAGAGATCTCACTGCAGCTCTCTCTCCTCCAGTCCGGCAGGGTACCATCGAGAATGGGATAGCTCCCCGGTCAACGACATCAGAAGGGGTGTTCGGGAGTGTCGGGAGGTGGCTGGAGAGTTTGTCCAAAGCCCTGTGCCCCAGGGCCAAGGAGGAGGCCATGGCCAACATCTCGTTCGGCTGGGACTGCCCTGGCCTGTGAGGCTTTGGGGAAGGGGACAGGATTCATAGGCATTGCCAGGCACCCCCTCCTCACCCTGTAGACGACCCCACCCAGCAGCGGGCAGCCTAAGGGTCGTGGCCTTGAGGGCCCTGCCAGCCATGGGTGGACGTGGGATTCAGGGTCCATGCAGCTCGCGGGCTCCTGTCCCCCTCAGGCCCATCCAGGAGCCACCGGGTCACCTCTCTGAGGATGCCTCCGTGAAGAGCAGCCTGCCCTGCATCCCCAGGGCCACCACACAGAGGCCACGAGGTGACCTCCAAACCTTGCTGGACACTGACAACATCCTGGGGCAGGTGGGCAAATCGCCCTGCTCCTGGAGCAGGAAGCTGGTGAGTTCTTGCTGACAGCCAGCCACCCGGAGAACCCCTGCCCAGTGGGGTGGCTGGGGTACCGGGTGAAGCCTCCCTGCATGTGGCTAAGGGCTGGGCTCTCGCACTGAGCTGGGTTCCGATTCCCAGCCCCATACTTGCAAGCGCTGGGGTCTTTTTGCATTTGCATTCCCTCATCTGTACAATGGGGCTGACCCCCGTGCCTGCCCCCGTGGGCTGGGATATAGAATCCCCCTGGGCCCAGGGAGCCACGTCTCCAGCCCAGAGGGACCCCACAGCCTCCAGCTGGTCCTCCTGGTCTCTGTAGGAATCCTTCCTGCCCAGCTTGGTGCTGCACACAGTCCTGAAGCGAGGATGCCCTAAAGGCTACCAGCCCCTCCTGCCTTCCATGACACCACAGGAGGCTCCCAAGTGAACGGCTACTGGAGCCCAAGCCCGCGCATGGTCGTGGGCAGGGGGTGAGGAGAGGCCTTTCTCACCCCACAAATAAACATGCATTCCAGATGGCTGGGACCTGCTACCATGTCTCACCCCACAAGCCTCTCTAGGTGCCAGGGCTCCTGGACCAAGGAGAGGGAGAGGACAAAGTCATGGCTGGGATGAGGCTGAGGGGTGGGGGCAAGCCATTGTCAGGTGCCAGGACTTGTTCCAGGTGATCCCCTCTTCTGGAAGGGGGGAGGCCCTGCCACACACTTCAAACCTGGGACCAAGCCTCTGTCAACCTAGATCAACCCACACCTGAAACAGGCCCATGCCCTGAGCCCCGGCCCCAGCTTCCGTCTTTGACTGGAACCAAAGGCTACTTGCTGACCTCCACTGGGCAATGAGGGTGTCCAGACTCCAGCGGGGTGGACAAACGTTTGTCTTCTGCATTCTCCAGGTCCCTGGAGGGCAAGCATCCAGAGTGGGTGGGGACAAGCTGTTTCTCTCCTAGTGGTGGAGGGAGGAGGAGTGGGCAGTGTTTAAAATCACATCAGGGGGTGGCAAAAGACCAGGTGGCGTTGGTCTGACCGCTGCACTGACTCAGCATCGCCAGCCCCATACTCCCGGCGGCCAGGTTTGGCCCTGCCACACCTGGGTGTCAGTCTCCTGGGCAAAGTTTAAAGCCCCCTCCCCTCTGTCCAGGCAGCGCTTTGGCCCCAACCCCTCGCCAAGCCGAGGATCCAGGTCTTTATCGCCACCTCCTGGCCAGTGAGGAAACAGCCACGGAATCCACACTCAGGCACCCTGCAGAATAGGAAAGGATGGGATGGGGGCTGCTGGGCGGGGACAGGCGGTGGGGATCTTAGGGCCAGGAGGGTCGTGGATGGGGAGGATTTGCTTTGCAGGGGTGCTCTGCCTCCAGAAGAAAGGCCACAGATGAAGGCAGTTTGGAGAAACCCTGTGGGGGATGGGGTGGGCGCAACGCTACAAACTCCCCTTCCCTGGGGACTGAATGGGGTTTCGATCCCAGGGATGACTCCCCTTCATCCCCTTTCCTGCGCTTTCACGACACCCCCACCCCGCCCTAGTATTTCCATTTCCTGGGGAGCCTGATTCTACCGCGCCCCCAGCCCCGTGACCTTGCGCCGCCCGCCTCGCCCTCTCTGAGCCTCAGTTTCTCCCCAAGGGCCGCGGCGGGCCCTCGCCCCGCCGCCCGCTGCAGCGCCGCGCCGCGCCCACGCGGGGGCAGTGTTG